CTGCTGAATTCTGGCCAGCGAAGGAAGGTAGCTGTGAGCTGAAAATGCTCTGCAACTTCCCTTTGGGTTGCTGTGCCTCTTTCACTCTTTACTACTGAAGCACCAGGTAAGATTTGCTTATGATGCCTTTTTTTTTTTTTTTTTACAGAACCTTTTTGGCTATTATTTTGAAGGGTTTTTTGAGTATCCAAAAAGAAAAGCAAAGTTTGGAGAACTTCACCATGAAGGTAGCTGTGAGCTGAAAATGCTCTGCAACTTCCCTTTGGGTTGCTGTGCCTCTTTCACTCTTTACTACTGAAGCACCAGGTAAGATTTGCTTATGATGCCTTTTTTTTTTTTTTTTTACAGAACCTTTTTGGCTATTATTTTGAAGGGTTTTTTGAGTATCCAAAAAGAAAAGCAAAGTTTGGAGAACTTCACCATCTTATCAGACTAGTGTAATGGAATAAACATTTTCATGCATTGTCTGGTCTTTAGCACAAGAATGGTAAGTCAAGAGTGCTGGTTTCTGTAGCTGCTTTAGCACCGTTCATTGCATGACCTTGCACATAAGCTGTAGGTGATACAAAGGTAGCTATGGCTGGTTTAAGTGCAGCTATAGGTCATTCCATTTTTCTCTGTTTCCTCTTCTGTAAACCAAGAATGACAGCACTGACTGATGTCTGGCTGTTACATAGCTATAAAATAGCACTTATTTCTCAGACAAAAAGTGTTAGATAAAATTGTTGTTAAAAATGAATTTAATCCAGCAAAATACAAGAGTCTCTTGGGAAGGCTGCTGTGTGCTTTCAAGTAATTATACTTTTTGCTGATTGAATCAGTAGCAAAAGCCTAATTCTTTCTCTGACTAGCAGTATTGATGGCAAAATGCTACTAAATCTAACAAAAGCCACATAAGACCTTCATGTCCACTGACCTCTGCAGTTACTTTGAAACATAACAGACAGATACATCAACTCTCCATCACACACATGAAGAAAATAGCAGAGAAAAAATATCATTTTGTAAAGAAATTAGCAATGTAAGAACCACTAGATGCCTATTTTTCATAGTTCTACCTATGGATTTAATAAACATAAACATAACTTAAAAAAAACCCCCATACCTGCCATGCAAATGAAGTTCCCAAACAGCTCTAATTCAGTAGCAGGTATATGTGGTTCTGAAATGTTTTTGTGTGAGGGGAGAATGTATTGCAGCAATTTAAATGGAAGATGCAAATGCAAGAAAATAAAACTGTTCTTGTGGAAGATAAATGTGTTGAAAGGACATAACATGTATTTCTCACATGGCTAAATAGGAGAACCCACTGCCACATCATGTTAGTTATCCAGAACAACAGAACATGACATGTGATCTAAAAAGGAGTAAGATATTTGTGCTGTGTAAAAAGTTAGACCATGTTCAATATTAGTATGAAAAATATATGAACTCTTCTATGTCTTGATTAGCTAATAGGAAAAAATCCTTATAGGCATATAATTGCATAAATTTCCATTATGGACTTTGTAACATTCCTTTCTAGCACCCAGAGTTACCCAGTGTGATACTCTGATGCTGTTATTCATAAAGGTTTCAATGTATATTCATTTGTGTACAGTCACACACATTATATGAGTTGTGGCTTTAACAATAAGGCCTGTCTGGACTGTTTGGTTCTGTGTATTTACAGGACCAGAGTACAGAGCTTAAATTATATTATTTTTAATATTTTCAAGTTCTTTTAAAGTGATTTTGTCTTACGGCTCTGAAATAATGGAATATGTGTTACTGTTTATACATGTGAATTGGAAATCAATTCACAAAACATTTTTTTCAGGTTTCTGGACCTTAATGCAGATAAGGACAGTATGTCTGACAGCCAACAAAATCAGAGGAGAAGCACAGAAGGTAGTCTAACCAAAGTTTATGTGTATGAAGTGTGAGGTGGGATCTGAAGAAGGAAAAGTACACTGATAACTTGAAATCTAGCTATTTGTCACAACAGAGCACCCATAACAAAATATGAACTCAAACTCAGAGTTACTTCCCACCTTTAAAAGGCCCTGAGATTTGCTTTGGTTCTCATATTTTTTAATGCTCTACTTCTATAGAGTTTCTGTTGATATTTATCTTATATTCCTGTTCTCTTGGAAGAGGAGCTGTAACTGGAATGTTTTTAGATGTTCTTTGCTTTTGTAGTACATCAAATTAACCCATTTACCAAATAACTAAAATTAATTCAGAGTTATGTATTCACATTTCAAAAAATTATAAAAATCAGTCACATGTTACATGTTCTTGGTTTGTTTTCCTGTTACTTCCTGTACCTCTTTATAATAATATCTTCATGCCCCAAAATAGCTGCATTTGCAGTGTTTCTGGTCAGTGAATTATGCTGCTTTTACACAAACTCTGATGTGTTTTTGCAGGCTGTGGAAGTGTTGTTGCTTGTCAGAATGCAGATAATATGATGAAAGAAATGCATCAGTCATACAAAGGGGAAAATAGGTAAGTAGTGTTCGTATTTAATTTACAGCTGGGTATGCAAAAATGGAGACCAAGCAGGTAACAGCCTGTGAGGGAGTTGTATACAACTATATAAGTTGTGTAGTGTTCCTCTCTTCACAGTGTTGATTACTGGCCACTGCTGGAGGCAGAATATTGCACTAGATGAACAAATTATTTGGTGCAATATGAAGAAAAAAGCATATGGTTTTACACCAGCAGTTGACTTTTCAAAACCAGACAATGACATTGCACGAAGCTTTAAGATTAAATCAGACTGTGTTTTTGTACCTATTTTCAGTCAGTGTTTATCTTTTTCCATATCTTTCATTCTTCAGAAAACAGGTGTCAGAAATCTGAGGCTTCCTGCACAGCCTCTGTTCTTTCAGGCAGGTCACAGCATATTTTCTAAGTCACAAAGGCACATCTGCTCTTCAGAATTCTGCTGACAGCCTTTCCTGACGATTCATATAGCATCCATGCTGGAAGCAATCAGGTTTTGTCAGGAAGGGGAACAATATGTTTTTCAGTTGGTTAACATAGTCATTCACTCTCACTTGTAGTCAAACAATCTCTGGCATCGCAATTGGTGCTTTCAGGGAGAGGCACAACTTTCCAGAAAAAGAAACAAAAGATACTTTGGCATTCTTAGATCTTACAGATTTCTCATTCACATTATTCTCCAGTGGTATGACTGATTGTTTGAACTCCTTCCACTTATTTTCGCTCTGTATTTTGTTTCTGTGTTTTTGCCTTTTAGTCAAATAGCACCAACATCCAGGCCACAGCCAGACCAACAAGTGGGATGTTTTCCAAGTAAAAATCAGTTGGCATTACAGAGGAGGCATGACACTTCTTTACCTTTCTTCCCAAAGAAAGAGAAGATGGGATGTGGCTTTGACTTCAGCTTTCTGCTACAGCCCTCATGCCCAGAATCTAACACTTCAAAATCCTTTCTGGATTTAGGTACTTTTCAGATAATGAAAGCACAAATACAACAAAGTAAGTTCAATTTTAAAAGTCACTAATTCTATATGAAGTTATAGATTGATTATCATATTGGATGGCAAATTCCTTTTTCTTTAAAGTTGTCTTTATGTCTGACTTCTCATAGACCACAGCCATGCTGACCCTCTTGAATTGTGCATTTGCAGAATGAAGGAGACAAAGAGAAGCAATGACAAACTTCACCACTCCTGTTAGTCCTTGTTGAGGGTGATACTCTGTGTAATGAAACTGAGCTCACAAGGTGTAAAGTGTGAGTAGGTGTAAGGTGTAAAGTAGCTCTCTGGGGCTGGAGTGGAGCCTTGATGGCATCTCTTCCACTTCTTTCCCCATACTGGCAATATGAATTAGCTGCATGTTGTAGTTAGCAAACACTTAAAATAGAGAAGTGTCAAAATATTTTAAAATTATATTTTATAGTTTTCTATAGAAAATGGAATGTAAAGCTCAGTATCACAATTAAATTTCAACTTGCAACTCTTTTCTGCACTGCAGATTTACAGCATAGTCCTGTGACCATCAGACAGATCCTTTGTCCCCTGAACCCCACAGCTTGAAATTAATTTAGAAATGAGAATTGTAGTCTGTTTAAAAATATCAAATTAACATTTCATTTGTTTTGATTTTTGAGGGTTAAATATAACAACGCTAAAAAACAGGAACAAGAGATCTGAGGTAAGATGAAGGGTTAAATATAACAATGCTAAAATACAGGAACAAGAGATCTGAGGTAAGATGATATTATGTACAAAACTGATCCCTGTTAGATGTATTATATCCTTTCAAAGTCTTAAAAACAGAAATACAGAAGTAGTGTTAGTAGTTTGCTTAGTCTCAGGTGGGTTTTTTTAAGGATGTGAAGTATTTTTACATTTAGTATATATATATCTATGTGTGTGTGTGAGCAAATCTTCAGATCTATATCATCAAATTGTCAGTAAAACATTGTGTCAGGGATTTTTAGAGATAAAAGGTTGAAACTTCAAAAAGATATAAAAGCTTTTAAAATAGAAATATGTAAGTTAATTTAAAGTATGCACATCCTATGTGTTAAACATATTAGATGTCTAGTTTTGCCAGATATAAACCCCCAACTCTTTATTGAGTGGTAATTTAAAGCAGAAGCTGAATATTAGTCTCAATATTAGCTGATTACTGAAATTTATTGTGTTAGCAAAGCAAAAATAAGTTCTCAGGATTAAACATATTTGACATGAAATTTTGTGATAAATATAAATAGGATTCCTGACAAAACATTTGTACTTAGAAACAACCTTGTGATTTTACATGTATCGCTGCTTCACACCACGTGAACCCTAAGTTACAAAAGATCAAACATAGAAAAATGAGAATTTGGTCTTTATGACTATTAATTAGTTGCCCTTTGTATAAAAGACTTGCCTCACTGAACCAGCTGTGTGCAGAATGCACAGGGCAAGTCTAGAAGTAAGGGCAAGAGTTCTGACAGAAGATCATAAAAAGGGTTGTGGAAAAAACTCATTTCAAATGGAGGAAATATTTGAGAACAATAGCTTAGCTGACCCCAGTGTGATTTAATGCAGATTTATTTCATGTCTCAGGCTCTGATGATTCCTAGAGGGATATCATTTGGGATAAACTGAGCATTCATATTAACACCATGAGGGTAGACAAAGCCTCCAGAACTGTACATTTCAGCCAACACACAGTGCTTTGCCTGGCATTTTCCAACTCAGTTTGCCCTTGGAATGCAAATAAAACTTTCCTGCAGATTTCAAACTGCTGTTGAATATAGACATGCAAATGAGTCCTCAGTGCATATGAGTGTGTGATTATTTCTATTGCATTCATTTGCATACAAATATACAGTGTATTCAAGCTAATTTTAATTCATTTCCTATAAAATAAAGAACAGAAATACTATTTTCAGAAATTTATTCTCACTGTGCATTTGAATAGTCAGAACAAAGTCCTCAGTTTCTCAGCTCTGCACTCTTTCAAAGATATGTGGTACCTTTCAGCTAATGTGATGGGAAGAGAAGGGAGAAGGGAGGAATAATAAAACATCCCCCACACAAGAAACTTCCCTACATGTGCAAATGACCTTTGAGTTTATCACTTAACTTCACTGGAACCCAATGCAGACTGTGCTGTCTTCCAGTGTACTGAAATCTGTGGCTATTTAATATGATTTATTGAAGATCAATATGTTTAGATCCATAATAATGTATTTTAAACCTAGAAATAATCTCTAAGAATTGTTTTCTTCATGGATAAAAGAGCATTCTATAATAATAGTCTAGTTTTCCTTTTTAGAAACTGCTTACGTGAGATCTAGTTCTGTTGGGAATATAGTTACTGGTGTCAGCACCCTTTGGAGGGTTATATAAAAGGACATAATAGGTTTAACATAGGGATGAAGAAAAGAAAAATCCATTTCTGATTTTTTTCCTTAGTCTATTTGGTTCTTCGTGACTGGATTTTACCTGTATCTGTTGTATAGCAAATAATTAATGTTTTTACTGGCAATTACAGTTTCATTTGCCACCAGTGACATTTCAGGCTGTAAGAACAATTCATCTTGCTCCTCTAGAGGATGACCTTGTCAATGAAAGCACCAACATCAGAAATATTTTAAATATTATGACCTCTATTCCTCAGCCTATAAAACCAGTTACTAAATTTTATCAGCACCAGTTAGACAACCTGTTAAAAAGGCAAAGTGAAAAGTCATCAGACTTGATTGTGGCTACTATTTCTGATAAGTTCACTCCAGTGACAGACCTGTACTACTTCAGCATGAGTAACTGCTGTAAGTACCCTGACAACAAGAAAGAAGAAACTAAAAGTGATTTAGAATGGAGAGAAGCTGATGTAACCACTCACACTGAAAAGAATGACCAAGCCAAGTCCCAGTGTGCAGTGGTTTGTAAGAACATTGCTCTTACGCCCCGGGCCAGGTTCTGTGGTGACAGTCATCCCTACTGGAGCTCAAGTAATGCTCTGGGAAACTGTGGCATATTTACAGCTCAGACAACAGTTACAATGTCAAGTGACAGAGATGGCAATAAGCAGAGGAGAGCAGAGAATTGCTGCAGCACTTGTCTAGAAGAAGGAAATGCTACAAAGACAATACTGGATCACAGACCACACAAAGATGCTGAGAGAGCAAACTTTGTGCTTGACAATCATGATTTGGATTCTTCCTGTAAAAATGAAGTGACAGGGGCCTGCCATGCCTTAGAAGATAAATCTGTGGCTGCAGTACTTCCCAGAGTAGAAGTTCAAGATCCTTCTGGAAAACAGCCAGAAAATAATGTTTATCACTCTGAAACTGAAATGGAAAAAGAAAAAGTGTCAGAAGCAACTCCAGAAGACCAAAGTGAGTTTGAACCTGTTGTTCATGTTACAGTCTCTGAACATGAGCCAGCCAGGGAGCCACACACTGCTAAACAACCCTCCACAAAAAAGAGTGGTGTCCACAGTCTGCCTCCTTGTAGTCCTCAGAGCTTTAACATTCTTGGGCACAAAGAAAATGACAAAAATAAAATAAAACCAAATAGAAATAAACATACATCAAAAACTAAAATGAATAGCAAGATAAAGATATCTGAAGACATCAGTGCTTCTAATGAGATTACCACAAAATGTAATGCCAAGGGTCGGATTTTTCCAGCTTTGAAACTGCCACAAGTGAAATCTGAGGCTTCCCTGAAGTGTCAGAACAAACCTCATCAGGTAGGCAAAGACCATTTTGCTCAGAGAGCTCAGAGACTTAAAAAGCAAAGCTGCTCCTGTAGCTGCAAAAATCCAGTTATCCTAAAGCAACATGTTACTCCACTTTCTCTGCCACATGCCCAGTCTGCTCCAGATTTTGTGGATCTGAAATACAGTGACATGTTCAAGAAAATCAATTCAAATGACCAAGGCCCAGGGATTTATGAAATGTTTGCAACTCCTGTCTATTCCCACATGCGAGAACTCAGTCAGCATCAGAGCAGACTGTACAAAGGTGTTTGCCCTGCTCCACCTGGGACATGCACTGCTGGCACCTGCAGATGTACCTGCAGTAAAGGGAGAGAGAGCAGCAGAGTGAGAAACATGCAAAAGAGAACACAGTTGAAACCAAAGAAGACCATACCTGGCACTAAACAGAAGCAGAAAGGTTTAATCACCAAGGGTGCAAGTACCAAGTTGAGTGACAGCAACACAGAGCAAGATAAAGCAGTAACTTCTGATTTGGATTTACAACTAGACACATCAAGGAACACAACACTGTTTCATGGACACACAGATCATCAGATCCCAGTTTCAGAAGAGCTTTCACAGCCAACTAAGCAAAATGAAGTTTTTTCAAATTCAAACTTACCAACTATTAAAGAAGTATCTTTGGAGCTGTCTTTAGACAGTCAGAATATATCCAAGCACCAGAGGGCTGCTACCTGTAGCCAGAACCTTCCTCAGTTCAGTGATAAAGACAACAGAGAAGGTGTTGCTCCAAGCAGCAGTCTGCAAACAACAGACCAGAACATCTGTGCATCCCAGATGGATGGCAGCAAAGGCCTGGAATCAGACCAGGTTTCCTCTGAGTCTATCAATGACTGTGAAGCATTGCCCTTTTCAGACAGGCTGGAGTGTCAATCCCCTACAAAAGAATCAAATCTCAGTTGGGCATACACACCTCAGTGCAGTGGTTTGGCCAATGAATTGGCTCAGCCTTTGGTGATTTGGGCAAAAACAAGTCCCAGTTTCCAGGCAAGTCAAAATACTTTTTCCTGGGCAGATAATAAGGATGTGACTGATGAATTGCTTTGCTGCCTGGCTGAAGAATTGCTATTGCTTGAGGAAACAGACATCAGCTCTTCAAGAACAAAAAACACAGGTTCTAAAATGCAAAAGGCACACAATGAAGAAGATGAAAACATGGTGAATGGAGATGAAGCAATAGTAAATAGTGCCCTAGAGAAGGTAAAAGTAATTTCTTGTCACTTGCTGTCTTCTCTGAGTAGTGCTACACACAAGCTTGGATGAAAGGCAGGAAATATTTGCTCATTAGAGATCAAGACTCCTTCCCTTGGGCCAGCTGCTCACTGATTCTCCCAGTGCTCAGCTGAAGAGACCCACATTAGTGGCTGCATGTCAGGGCACAAGCAGAAGGTGCTAAGGCATGACAGGAGAAGCTGTCAAGGCTTATGTGATGGGTCAAGATAAACTGAGAAATTGTAGTGAATAAAGAGAATAGGCTGTTTTAATAGAAGAGAATATATAGAAAGGTGCTGGGGCAAGGCAACAGTTCTTGAGATCCCGACACCTAAGAAATATGAAAAGCAACTACAAATAGACCAATTTCCTTGGTTCTCTGAGTGCAGCCCGACACTTTTTTAAGAACTACAAATATTGGCTTGTCAGACAGACTTAAGGCTGTTTAATTAATGTTTAGTCAAAACTTTGAGCTCAGAAAGTCTAGGTTCTGGCCTCCAAGTCAGCTAAGAGCCTTCTCCTACTAAGGTGCTGATCCACCAGTGCTGCTTCTCCTTGGCCCTGTTAGTTTTCTATGTAAATTACACATCTACATGGAAATTTCTTTCACTACATGTTGCTACACTTCCTTATGCTTCTGCAGGCACAGGTGCCATTTATATCTCCATTCTCCCTTCTCCTAGGGAGATCCATGGCTAGATGGAGTAATTATTACCATCTTTTGGAAGCAATCCCTACTTCCTGTGAGGTCATGCCCCTGTTATTTTCATCAGACTTGGGTTATATACATTACTCAGAGCAAGGTGATAGCCATATTCACCCTTCAGCTTAGTAAGCTGTACCTATGAGACAAAAGAGAAGAATTAAAAGCAGATATATGTCCTGCACTTATAACTGTTCCTTCTGTCTGTCCTCCTGTCCATGGACAAAGATGTCATGCTATCATCTGGCTATATGTATCACTGCTTATATATGTATCACTTCTGGCTATATATATCACTAGTGTGATATTTACTTGAAAATATTTACAGTCTTGCCTAGTATAGCAATTGTATCAATGACCTGGGCAGTGTGTATATTTATATATCTATATGAATCTAGAAAGCAGAGTCATGCCAGGAAAAATTGTTTCTTATAAAAAATGTTAGGACAATATGAAGCCTTTCTTTCCCTCTCTTTTTTTCTTCCCATACTGGCCATCACCCTTCAAGCAGAGTTACAGTCAAGCCTTTGTGGCATCGAATGAAGAAAGTGACCTGCTAAAATTTGATGGATCTACTAAATTACCAGGAAGCAGTTTAACTAACCAAGATCCTATCATGTGGACAAGAGGGGAAGTCCTTGGAAAGGGAGCCTACGGCACGGTAAGTTAAGGTTGGAATATGCTAAGAGATGTGCTGGTCCTCTTTGAGCTGCACCTTATCTGTTGTCCTGTTCAACAAATGGCTTGGATATCCTGGACTATACAATGAGACATGAAGCATGACAAACACAGAGATACTATTTCAAGCAAGTAAATGCTCAGTTTTCTCTCACGTTCCACGTTACTAAGTGCTGGTTCCATTACAGGTGTACTGTGGGCTGACAAGCCAGGGACAGCTAATAGCTGTGAAACAGGTTGTTTTGGATACATCAGATCAACTCACTACAGAAAAGGAGTACCAGAAGCTGCATGAGGAAGTTGATCTTTTGAAGACATTGAAGCACATCAATATTGTAACTTACTTAGGAACCTGTCTGGAAGACAACATGTTGAGCATTTTCATGGAGTTTGTTCCTGGTGGTTCCATTTCCAGTATTATCAACCGCTTTGGCCCCTTGCCAGAAGTTGTCCTTTGTAAATACACCAAACAGATCCTACAAGGAGTTGCATATTTACATGACAACCGTGTGGTACACAGAGATATCAAAGGCAATAACGTTATGCTGATGCCAAATGGGATAGTGAAGCTGATCGACTTCGGCTGCGCCAGGCGCTTGGCTTGGGCAAGCCTCAGCGGCACCCGGAGCGAGGTGCTCAGGTCTGTGCATGGCACTCCCTACTGGATGGCACCAGAAGTGATAAACGAGTCTGGATATGGAAGGAAATCAGACATCTGGAGCATTGGCTGCACCGTGTTTGAGATGGCAACAGGAAAACCACCACTGGCTTCCATGGGCAGGATAGCAGCCATGTTCTACATCGGGGCCCACCGCGGGCTGATGCCTTCCCTGCCAGAGCCATTCTCCAGCCCTGCAGTGGATTTTGTGCACGCATGCCTCACCAGGTATGGGCTCTGAAACTGAAAAAGGAAGGGAGAAATGCAGGTAGTTTGTACTGCAGAGATTGTTGGTGGGAGCTTAGCCTATCTCTTGTATGGTGCATATGTCTCTATTGTATATGCATAGGCTTCTCAGCATTTCAGGGAAGCCTTTATGTAGTAGTGTATATAAAAGAGCTTTACTCTCTATAATAGTATAAAACCCCCTCATAAATTCTCTTTTTATAGTCCTTATACTCATCATTTACCCTCCCTGGAATTTTCATGCAGAAACATGGCACTGTTTAGTTTTAGATAAACTCCTTGATAAATTTCTTTGACATGCTTTGCTGTTGCAGTAAGGCATTGTCTAAGTCTGGCCAATGTCAGACAACATGTTTTCTGGATAATATTCTGAATGAAAGAGCTTTCATTTAATTCTTATCTTCTGCAGTGGAAAAATCTGCTATGACTGCCAGTCCAGGAAATATGCATTTATTTGAAACCTAAAGTTATCTATATAAAACCCCCAAACCACTGGCATTGACCCATTGCAAGAGTTATTTTTATGGTGTTTGTTTTGTTTTACATATCAGCTATCATATCAACTATCAATTTCAAAGGCTAAGCTCCTGACATCTGTGGGTAATCTTTATAAAATTAAAAGCAGTCTTTTGCATATCTTGAAAGACCAGATTTGAGCACTAGAGAGAGGCAGGTTAGTTACTGGGCATGGCAGTGGCCTTGGAGGCAGGAAACCTGACTCCTAATCCCTGGGTTAGAATCCTTATGATGTGGTTCCTGTAGACCATATGACAATAACCAGAAAAACTGTGGACTGTAAATAACCACATCCTATATGCTTTGATTCAGAGAGAACAATGTCTGAAAGGCAGAAGGAATTGTTAGGTAGAAGGAAACATCCAGATATGAAGCATTTACCTTTTCAGATGAAGTATTTAACTTTTCAATAGTCATGAGGCAAAGTTTTAATGCATAATCTTGCCATGTCCTGAACATTAACACCTCCCTTAGCCCACCTTCCCCATTTGTTTCTTATTTAAGAAATCAGTGTCCTCTCCTCTATCCCCTTGTCCTCCAGACTGAACATTGAAAAAGCCCAAAGCCCTTGGCCCTGCAAGAGAATAATGTACTTACAGTACTGTAAGTCCATATGGAGCACAGAATGGTTTGGGTTGGAAGGGACCTTAAAGATCACCTAGTTCCAGCCCCATGCCATGGGCAGGGACTCCACCCTCTGAAGCAGGTTTTTTGGGGCCCCATCCAGCCTGGCCTTTAATTCCAAGGATGAGGCATCCACAGCTTCCCTGGGCAACCTCTGAGCTCCTTAACATGCAGGTGACAGAACAGCCTGACTGACAGAGGATCAAACAAGTAAATGTCACCCTCTTTAAATATATTTTGCATGCACCTGAAACAGCCAAATGAGCAGAATTATTCAAAGCTTTGCAAGGAATTTAGAGGAACAAAGAATGATTTTTGTAAAAATAAAATATTTCAGTTTTATAATCCATAAATTCCAGCAGCCTTTTCCCATGAATCCTGCCTGCCTTTCTACCAGCTTTATTAGAAAACCTACAAATGAGTAATGACTGGAGAAATAAGAAAAAAAGAGGTTAATCTTGCATTTAGATTTTACAATTCCACCAGAGGTATGATATAAATTTTATGTACTGTTTTTTGAAACATTCCATGCAGAGATCAGCACGAACGTCCTTCTGCTCTGCAGTTGCTGGACCACCCCTTTGTGACAGGAAGACAGTGAATCTTCCCAAACGAGTATACATTTTCCATATAAATAAATTCCACTTGTGAAAAAAAGACTAGAAGGAACTGGACCTTCAAGTGACAGCAGAAATACTGGAGAGCAGCTGTGCACAAGGACTCTGTTACTAGGCAGCACCATGATTAAGGAGACCTCTTTGCAATCAATGCCTGTGCTCGTTGGAGTGGACACTTCTCCACTGGGAACACAAGGCCACGACGTGTTGTACTTGGAGAGACTTTAAGAGGGGAAAAAACCCACCACAATCACCATGTGACAGGCAAGGTAAGCTGGAATGTCTGTAAAAACCTATGGGACACATGCTGTGGGCAGGAAACATGTCATGTGTTGAGAGCTCTGCAGGAAGCTCTACTCCAACTTGCAGATGAGTCGTTACTGTACCTGTGATGATCCCACAGGAACTCCAGACCATGTATTGGCATAAGATACACAAATTGTGTTCTATGTCCATTTTGCTTTGGAATTTTTTTACCATTTCATATAGATTTATATGGAAGAGGTTTGATTTGATTTCATAATTTCATAACAAGAAGTTATTTTGGTTTTGGGTTTTGTCATATTGATTAGGTTATATGCCTAGAATTTTAATAATGGCTTGGATCCACTTATATGCATCATTATATAAAACAAAAAGGGGAGGTTTTCTCTCATTTGGAGTATAATTTTGAAAGACATTTCAATGGCAAGAGAATGGATTGTGGCAATCCCAGGCACAGCTACAGGTTGGGTGGGGAAGGAACAGACCTGTTTGGGTGACAGGACACACCAAATCTAAACCACGTGACTGCCTTTTCTCAATGAAGGAATACATATTCTGGACAGTTTCAGATCACAGAACTGACTTCAGAGCTGGTCTGAACTTTATAAAAGCAAAGAGAAACCAGTACTTGTAGCAAAGTTCTTTATTAATAGTTTCTGTAGGTATAATGCCACATAACAATGACAGAACATTATGCCAGCATAAGAGAAATCCTAACATCACAGTACTCTCCCAAGTTCAAGCAGTTAACAGTCCCACTCTGAGGATACAGGTTGGTGCTCATGCCAGAAATCCATGGCAATGCCACGTTAGAAGTATCTCCATGGTAAAGTACCTTGCAGAGTAAAGGTGAGAGCCCTGGCACATGAACTCAGGGGGGATGTACAGAATTCCAGGGTGTGTATTAACTCTTCTCAGATTAAGGTAGTGTCTCCAACAAAGCTGCAAAGTAAACATGAGGTTTTATTTAGCATGAAATGAAACTGAGATGACAGTCATAAGCAGGGAAGGAGTGGGAATGCTCTAGAATATATAGCTAATTAAATAATTGTCAGGATTACAAACCCCTTTCTTATATTTAAAGCAAAACTAGCATCACTTGCTAGAGTTCTCCAATATTAAAGTTACTAGTTATTTGCCTTTTAAGTGTTACGTTTAATATACCTAATTATACTAAGATTAGTCTTTAACTTAGAGGATTCTAAAGCTTGAACCTGAGTTTTTAATCAAAATGTGAAAGCACATTTCTTTTGCTTTTGTTTAGCCAGACTTTGAGAATGAGGTGGTAACTTAAGGGCAGCACTTGCAACAAAGGTGTGTCAGCTTCATCTGCCAGGGGAGATGCACAGCCCAGGGCACAGCACAGCCTTGGGCTGCTCAGCTGAGCCTGTCTGGTACAACATTCTATAAACAAATCTAACTGCATATTTCTTACTTGATGAGATCACAGATTCTCACATCACAACCCAGATGCCTTACTGCAGGTGTCTAATGTGGGAAGGGGAAAGGGTGTGAAACCTTGAAAAGCACAGTTTTCCATGGGAAGTGACTCAGTGAGGAGTGTCACACTGGCTTAGTTACCTCCAGTGTTCAAGCAGAGCAAGGCTCACTGGCTGCAGGAGCACAGCCTGCATCTCCAAACCCAGTGCAGAGCCTGTCACAAAGCATGCAGGCTGCAAGCACTGGATGTGACTGCTTTGCTGTCACTCCAAGTTTCCTCATGATTTGGAGCTTAAATCTGAGACCCCAAAGACACCCTGTCCTTGGGTGACTGCAGGGGTAACTAGTATTTCTCTGACACAGCAATGTTTAAAGCCCTGAGCCATTGTGTGGCCCCAGGAGAAGGGAGGCTCCTTAGGCCTGCCAACCCAGCTGTTCTACACGGGTCTTGGAGCTACAAACAGCAATAGGATATAAAAATGTGCATCTAAAACCACACATTTACTTCCCTTTCCAAGGAAGCAGACACTGAGCCCAGAAAACCCACAGTCCTTTGAGATCATTTGGGTTCCAATCTGTGCTTTTTCACAAAGCTCAGCAGGATCTGATGCCATTTCTACCCCACTCCTACCAAACCTCTGGTTCTTGCACATAAGGAAAAAAGAACAAGAGTTCTCCCAAGGAAGGGCCTGCCGTGCACACAGTCCAGTGCCTTTTCCCCACTACTTTCCCTTTCCCAAAGGGACCAGTGACAGCCTCAAGTTTTACAGATGTTACCAAAGAACACAAGCTCTGAGCTGTGGCAAGAAAAATGGTGCCACTATACGGGCAGGAATATAGAGGAATCAAATCCAAGTCCTGAAATTTTTAAGATTAAAAATTGGATTTGGGTTTGCTCTGTCCACTTCAGGAGAAGACAGAGACACAGTGGATCCCAGCAGCAATGACACAGAACACTCCTGGCACTAATTATCTCGTAAGGTCTGAGGAGTTCAGCATTGCAGAGGAGGGATCCATTAGCTAGTTCAGTTTGGCATAACTTCCAAGGCTCAAGATATTTATGTTTTTAGAATTGATGATGGGAATGTGCCTTTACATCCCCATTAAAGAAAGGAAACAAAGTTTGTCCAATCCCCTTCCCTGCAAAAACAAGGATTGGGAATCCTTCCCCCTAAGTTCTGCCTGGTATACTCCTGTCACCCATCCCCTCATCCTTTTCCACCCACCACTAAAAAGGCTCCAAAATAACCCTCAAGTCTGGCCAGACACTACATAATAAGACTACAGAGCACAGGCTCTTGCCCTCAGGGTAGAGTGAGGCACTGAATGCCTAGAATTTGCTTTTTGGGTATCTAACAACTCATCACAAAATGTAAATGCAACAACTGAGACTTCAGACTTTCAAGCATTCCATTATTTGACTGATGAAAACTAGCACTGTTTTGCCAGCAGCTGAAAGGGGATCTTTGTGTTTACAAATGAAGTTGGAAAAAAAATTAAACATAGGAAAAAGGGGTAATTTCTGCACAAGAGAGGTGAGGTAGGGAATTTTATTGAAAATACTTTGTTGTTTGTTTTTTTTTTTACAAGTTCTTAGAAATAAAGTCTTCTCTAATCTCACACAAATGGCTGTACCTCAAAAATTCAACTAAGCTATTATGAAACATTCATATTTACAGTTAACCAAAAGAATTTACAGATCTGCCATGTTATGCATGTTAAGCACCAGCTCCCAGTGAGATCCATCACCCACCCCAGCATGCCCACCAGCAGGAACAGACCAAGATTCCCCAGAGGAAAGAATCTCACTATTCTACAAACCTCTTATCTCACAAAACGGGAAGATTTTTAATAGTGTTGCAGCAAGGTCTCCACTACAGCATCATTTTACAAATTACATACGTCACGTACTCAAATTGATAACAAAGACCTGTGATAAGTGATGAACAAAGTAATAGTGTTGACTATGAGCCTTTTATTGCATTTATTCAGTCATTCGTATGTGAGGCTGATGTCAATCCCATTAACTCTCACTCACTTCCAGCACCTCAGCCAGGCTGGGATTCACACCACTCACTAACTTACAGTGGGTTTCAGTCAGGGAACACTAGTGGCACAGCTGGTTGCAGATCCTCTCCCTCCCACAGCCCCTAGGATCACCACGTGGAGTTCAGACACAAAGACACATACAATTTCACCTATTTACAATCACATGGAAAACCAAACCCGTGAGTTTTATGGACACCCTTTACAGAGAAACCAAAAACCACTGTCTGGATCTCAATGTAGCATAGCAACATTTTGTCCACCATATTTCACAATTCTCCAGAGTCAAAACAGGCAATAATTCCTTAGAAACAGCACCTTAGGAGGAAGTCAATGCTCTTTTGCAATGGATATGAGAGAGGCACTAGTTACCATCCAGACATTTTAACTCCAGGTTGTGACAGCAACTGCTATATTTACAGTACAATATATTGCTTATCCAGAGTGGCTATGTAAGATGCATTTCATGGCACAACTATTTAAACAGACTCAAAAAGAAAGTACTGTAGTGCTTCAAAGACAAATTAAGACAGTTTCCTGCTATTTCACCTGCCTGCCCAGGCTATGGTTTAGGACAGTACATAACACAGATTACATTGGTTTCAAATCAGACCCAAGAGGAGCACTGGGATGGAAGGGACTATAAAAGGATAGAAAATATTCACCGATGCAGAAGTCTGTACCGAGGAGTTACACTCCCAATGTAGAAAAATAACCAAGTCAGTAGGGACAGGACAGCTTTGGATTTTGTACATGGGCCTTGACTTAAGCTAAGATAGAGCAGAAAATGCAATCAGGTTTCCATTTAAATATTCCTTAAGTGTAAAAAAGTATCCATAGTTCAAATAAAACTTATTCAAGTAATTACAAGCGTTTGCATTACTGGAAACAGAGTATTACATAGTAATTGATATACCTGTAGTTACATCAATCAGCAACTACCAACTGGCAGGTAGGGAACAGTCTCCTCATTCAGAGCACAGGGGAGTAACAGAACTGGGAGGGCAAAGCTGCACATGAATGAGAACAGAGGGAATGAGGTGGCAGCAAAAGGTTACTTCACATCAGGCTCACTTCCAAGTTAACAGAAGTCACTGAAGAACTGGTTGTTGCTACTACAGATCTACTGAGTTTGTCTTGAGGTACTTCATAGCTTATGAATAGTTTTTGAGTAACAACCCAGAAAGTTCACTGCTACGCAGGTGCTGAGCTGCAGTATTGGCTTTGAGGACAC